CCACGCTGCGCCGCGCCGGGGTTGAGGGCTGGCTGAGGGCTGGCTGAGGGCTGAGGGCTGAGAGGGCTGAGGTCGGGAAACGGCGCCGTGCCGTAGAACGGCGCGGCGGCATATGCCATATACGGCGCCGCTCTACTCGTACATCAACAACGTGATTCCCATGCATACTGCTCACAATCTCGCCGCTCGCGCAGGCAGAGGGTTCGGGGGATGCATATGCATACACGCGTGACCCCGGGTCCTCCCGCGTGCATATGTACCCGTTGTTTCCCCCTGGGGGAACACGTGTGTAGACCTTCGCCCGGATGCACGTGTGCGTCCTGCTTCTGCCCGCCTCGCGTTTGTCACGCTCCTAAATTCATGTTTCGAGGTCGCGCTACGTCGCGCACGTGTCACTCGGGGGTTGATAGGAAAAGACTGTTTCCATCATTTTCCAGCGTTAGCCAGTAACGCTGCAATCCGCTGTTCGTCGCGACTGACATGTTTCGGATTTCGCGCCCCCGAGAATCTAATCGCAAACGGGTTACATTGCTTTAATAAACTGCATTAAGATAATTAAGATGCGTCAAACGTATCTTCACAGATCTAACAGGCTCTTGATTTATCAAAGTAATATATCAAAGTATATCAGTTGAAGAATCTATCTTAATTGGAATGTAGCATAATTCCGCTCTTTGAAGATTTTCAAAGAAATAATTTTGAAAAGGTAAGTCCAATTTAATCAACTGAATTTTCATTCGCGATTCATTAACCGTATTTTATCAAAGTTTATTAAATTATTTCTTCCATCGTGTCGTAATAAAATCGCAATAAAAATCTACGATACGACTCGTGAACGTGAAACTTAAATATTATTTCGGTATATATCGCCTATCTGGTCGTCGTACCATGTCTTAGATCGCATTAACGTTTCAGTGATTTCTGATAACGTACGCCCGAACGACGTATGCGGGCAAGATATATATCCGCGAGAAGGTAAAAGTTAGACGCGTAAACTTGAGATTGGTTGCTCGCTGCAGTTTCCCTATAGGAAATCCTGATACATCTCGAGTTTCGCGTCAAACTTTCCGACGCTACTCGGCTTCGCTCGTGCGAATATATCCCTTCGTTTCTCCGGTTTCTTTTGCGGGCTGCGGCACGTATACATACATATATATATATACATATATTCCTTCGTTTCCTCGTCCGTGGTAATTTTGTCGAGCATGTCGTACCGCTCACCGTAAACCACGTACCAACGATGGGTCTCGTGTTCAAAGTGCCTGCTTGTAATTGCACGCGGCCGTTTGTGGGCGCACAAGGGACGTACACTCCCCCTCGGGACGCAAAATACAGAGAGCGTCTCGTCGAAATGTCCGTGAAATACGTTAATCTCATTGCTTTATCATCGCTGTGATATAATTACTCGAAGTCACCCTTAGCGCAATGGGCTTTTGACGAAAGATAGTTTAAATCGTAAGAACGCGGTTTGAGTTGGACGTGGATACGGCGAGCTCCATTAAGAATTCGCTAATGTACCGATGAATAGTTAATTAATGTACGGGAAACAGGTATTTGGTGTAGCGTTACTTACATTAAATCGAAGGTATTCGGTGTAGCTCGAGCAAATGAGCGCGAACAAACGCGAATGAAATCGCAGTGCTTGCATTGCTTTGCAAAGTTGGTCGTTCATGCATATTCGCGTCTATTTGTTTGATCTGAAATTTAATTATAACGTAACGTTTGAACATTGAAACTCATTTAAAAAATATCTAATACATCGTTGGATTAATATCGAAAAATTTTTGAAAAAATACAATTACTTAATAAGGTAATAAAACAATATTTTAGTCATTTTTTTCATTATACGTTTAACGAGCAAATCTATTTTATGTTAAAATATCAAACGAACATTGTGTAATTATGTTGGCGGAAGCAGTATTTTCTACGGCCGCGAGTACGGTAACTTTTTCATTTGGTCATACAGAATACATATATTTATTTTCATTGTTTAAATCCCGTAATTTAAACATCAACGTTCTAGTTTTATACAGTTATAAATATATAATATATGCTAGAAAACTTTCCCGCGCTGATACATATTGTCTAAAGTTTAAGAGTGCATTTACCGCACCGATAATACAATTATTGCAATTTTGCGAGATGTTTCTGCGAAAGTTGCGAATGGAAGAGATTACGCAATGGCTAAAGAACGCGTCGACTTTAAATAATCCAAACATTCCTCGTACCGTATTCCTTTGATTCGATCAAATTTCTTTCTCCTCGAACTCCTGTCAGTGGGCTAAAGTCGAGCTAAAAGCGACGGACGAAGGAGAGAGACATAGTAACGAACATTTCTTTTTGCATCGTGCAAAAACAGCGTGGAGAAAGAGCAAAGAGCATATAGCGACGTTACGAGAGAGTCACGCGAAAGAAAGCAAACTCTCAAAGGACGCGCGCTACAAGTCACCCTCAAAGGATGTATCCGGAGTATACTGACCGCAAGGGAGACGCGAGACTGGTAACTCGATAAATAAAGAAGCAAAAATGAATAAATCGAGAACGAGCCGGCCAAACGGCTCCTGTTTCCGTTATCCAAAAAAAAAAAAGAGAGAGAGAGAGAAAAA